CTTCCTACGGCTGCCTAGCGTCCCTTCCTTGGCCACCTCACCCTGGTTGCCCCGTGGAGGGCAAACCCCTTCCTGCATGCAGGCCCCCCGTGCCCCCCCTCGTGGGAAAGGTTCAGGAGGGGGTTGCTTGGCATGCACGCGCACACTCTGCTGTGGCAGGGCTGGTGAGGAGGAGGAGGAGGAGGCTGGGTTGAGCCAAGAGGGGAGGGGAGGGGAAGGGAAGAGAGGAAGGGAAGGGAAGAGAAGGCAGAGCATCCTCCTGGCTCCCTAGGCGGAACGGAATGGTACTCTGGATTCTGTTGCCGTGGCAACCGTGCTGCTGTCCCAGATGCTGCTAACTTTGAAGTCCACCCAGAGATGGAATCAGCTCAAAATAACAGGCAAAGGAAGGGGGGGGAAGAGCAGGGATGGGGGGGTAGAGGGAAAGGGAGGGGCACCATGAGCTCTTAAGGTGGATCAGCCCCAGCCCTGATGGCCCCCCCGGAAGGAAAAAAGGGGGGGGGAAGGAAGGGAAGGGCCGGAGAGGTGGAGGAGACGCCGTGTCTCTTTGGAATGAAGGGGATGCACAGTTCTGGGGGTGGGGGTGGGAAGACTTTGGGATAAGGCCCCCCCTTCTTTCTGGGTGCCGTCTCCTCCCTAAAGGTGGGGGCCCTAGCTGGCAAGGAGGGAGGGGGAGCCTGGGTTGGGCTGCCCTCCTTCTCCCCCCCCTCCAACCGCCCAGTCTTTCTTTGCTCCTCTTGCCGCAGGGCTTTGCTGGGGGTGCAGGCAGAGCCTCTCTCTCTCCCCCCCACCCCAGAATGGAAATTAGCTCCTGTTTGATATGAACCCTTTTGGTCCTTGTGTGTAACAAGAAATATTAAAGATGGACTTGTACTTATGAATTGCATCCTCCCATTTGTTAACAAAATTCTGTGTTCTCTCACTGGGTGTTATAAAGCTTTTGATGAATTCCAGTTTTTGGTGTAATAGATTCAAAATCAAACTGGTTGAAGTTCAGCAGTGGAACTTAGACTGCATAAGGCCAATGATGTTATCAGTTGGTGTGAGTTTTTGGAAACCTAGGATTTCCCTTCCCCCCCCCCCCCCCCCCCAGTTCACAAATCACCACAAGCAAACTCCCCCCCCGGCTCACATGATTCAGGGGGACTTTGGGGGTGTCTTTGGAGGATCCACCTCACCCGTGTCAGATGGGGGGGAGCCCCAAACCCCTGACCCAGTTTTGTGCTGCTGGGCAGAGGCTCAGAGGAAGAGATGGAAGAGGGAGCGGAGACTAATGGGGCGGGGGGAGAAAAGCTAGTGGT